GTTTGTAATGTTTCCATCTAATAAAGCCAAATACCGAGTGTTCAGTTGTTTACTAGTCTCTCTTGGGTGTTTACAGTAAAGCAGCGGTGGGATTCGCCTATGTGCTTTTGAGGTGCTTCCGGCAAATTGTGTTTTGTGCGGCCTGAGAAAAACAACAGACTTGTGTGCGGTATTAGTGTAAAGTGGCATAAAAACAAATGGATCGTTTCCCAACGAGAAGAGCTTCGACATTTAGTTCTTGCTCAACTTCCGACGAAAGTCTAGAGAAAAGAAGACGAAAAACTTATAGAGAGTCAGGTGCACAAATCAGACAAACCTAGATTTGTTGCAAAGTCAGAATGTATTCCCGAGTTCTATCCCGGAAATCCTAATCTCTCTGTTAACAAGTGGATAGAGTAAATCGAACAACTCCAATCTATTAATGTTTGGGATGAACAAACTATGATTTTCCACATGCAGAATCAATTAACGGGACTTGCACGGAAATGGTATGATAATTTGCCTTCTTACAAATACAGCTGGATAGAATGGAAGACAATGTTATTAAAGTCATTTCCCGACATCAGGATTTTGCAGCAACGTTGTGGAAAATGTTGACCTGATCAAAGTTAACTAATGAGTCATGGGAGCAGTACTATTTTGACAAAACGGAACTTATGAGTGCCTGTGACATAAGAAATAGAAGAGCCGTCTCCTGTTTAATTGATGGGATACCAGATCCAACCATACAGGCTGGCGCCAGAGCTGGCAGATATGACACTCCTGATTCTCTGTACGCAGAGTATTTATCTACCTTAAAATTCGAAAGACAATTTGGAAGACCCAGGCAACGGAATACTGAAAGGGAAGCCCTGACTGAATGTTATAGTGCTGTAACACTAGTATTCCAAAGAAAGGAAAACTAAAGCAAGGAAAAGTTTCGAGGTGTTACAATTGCAGAAAACAAGGACATTTTTCCAACCAGTGTCCAAAGCCTAGGATCGAATGTACAAAATGCATGCGTCTGGGTCATTTAGAAAAAGACTGCCTACGACGACCTGTCCAAAATAACATTGGTCAAGGTGCATCGTTGCGATGTATACATCCAAGGGAAATTCCGGCCTATCCCTGGTAAGGATCATTATGTTCAGGACTGCGTAACAAACGCACAAGATGGGCACCTAACCATAACAAATATATCTCATAATCAAATCAAGGTAAGTGAGCAAGATATTTTGGCTAGATGCATTCCATGTCTGGAGGACATAACGCCGATTATGTCTGTATCTGTATTCGCTTCAAGTTGTATAGAATGAAAACATTTTACTGAAAATGATGTAAATGTCAATAAGAACCTAAAGTCGGAACAAATTCTAAACTTACTGACTTTAATAAATGAGTTTAGTAATTGTTTTGCTCAATCCACTAATCAATTAGGTAAAACTGATGTCCTAAAAATGCCCATTCGTCTTACGGATGATCAGCCTGTCGTTTATAGACCATATCGACTTTCTTTCGATGAGCGGAAAGTCGTCAGGAATATAGTAGATGATTTACTAAACAATGATATTATACGTAAATCTGACTCACCGTATGCGAGTCCAATCTTGTTAGTTAAAAAGAAAAATGGTGAGCAGCGTTTGTGCATAGATTATCGTGCTTTAAATAAGAAAACTGTAAAAGACAGATTCCCTCTTCCGCATGTAGAAGACATTTTAGAGAAATTGAAAAATTGCCACTACTTCACTAGCCTCGATCTCGCTAGTGGATATCACCAAATTCCCATGGAGGAATCGTCCATTCAAAAAACTACATTTATCATTCCTGATGAACATTACGAGTATTTACGATGTCCTTTCGGTCTTTCAAATGCTCCAGCAGTTTTCCAGAGAACAATAAACAAGGTATTGGGAAAACTGCGATATGGAAAAGCCCTGGCATATATGGATGATGTATTGATGCCAACTATAGATGTTGAAAGTGGCCTGAATACCCTACGAAAAGTATTACAATCATTCGATAGGGCGGGGCTTATGCTCCGACTACACAAGTGTCAGTTTTTTTATGGAAAAAGTAGAGTACCTGGGGCATGAGATTAGTCAGGCTGGTATACAACCAGGGAAAAGAAAAACCGATGCTGTGGAAAAGTTCCCGATACCAAGCGATATACGAGGTGTTCGCCAGTTCCTGGGATTAGCGAGTTACTTTCGAAAGTACGTAAAGAATTTTGTTACAGTAGCAAAACCGCTAACGTCTTTGGCGAAAAAAGATGTTAGTTTTGTATGCGGCGGAGAACAACAAAAAGCTTTCCAAACCCTAAAAAATCTGGTAACTCGTCCTTTACTGGCAAATTATGATCCGGAGTTAAGAACTGAGGTACATACTGACGCGCCCAAATTAGGAATAGGAGGTATATTGCTGCAAGAACAACGCGATGGCTCCATACGACCTGTCATGTACTATTCCAGACAAACCAACAAGGAAGAACAACGATATCATTCCTATGAATTAGAAACACTCGCTGTAGTTTACAGCTTAAAATCTTTTCAAATATATCTCATAGGAATCAGTTTTAAAGTTATCACTGATTGCAATGCAATTTGAACTACATTATCTAAACGAGACTTATTCTCACGGATCGGAAGATGGTGGTTAACTATTCAAGAATATACTTTCGAAGTTGAATATCGTCCTGGTCAGAAAATGGCACATGTAGACACATTGAGCCGTAATTCCATCGAGTGCCAAAATTCAGTCGACTTGATAGTAAATGTAGTCAACCTTGACCACGAAGACTGGGTTTTAAGTGCACAAATGGCTGATAATAGGTGCAAATACTTAAAAGAAGTATTGCAGAAAATAGCTGCTGATAAAGAGGAAAAATAAATCCACAGAATGTACTGTTTAGTCAAATATGTCTGATGGTAAGAAATAGGTGGTGCCGAAAGCAACAAGAAGACAAGTTGTTATGCACTTTCATGTTGGAAATGGTCATCTATCTTTTGATAAAACTGTCAGCAATATCCAAAAACTACTGGTTCTCAGGAATGCGACGCAATATAAAGAAATACATAGCAAGTTGCCTACCATGTCTTTACAATAAAGAACCCGGAGGAAAACGACCTGGATTCTTACACCCAATCGAAAAAGTTGCAGAACCATTTGACACAATCCATGTGGATCATTTGGGACCTTTCATAAAGTCCAAACAGAAAAACATGTATTTAATAGTCGTAGTCGCCGCCTTTACCAAGTATGTATCTATGAAGACTGTGCCATCGACAAAAGTGAAACCTCTCACGGTGTTTTTAACTAGTATTATAGAAAATTTTGGTGTACCACGAAGGATAATATCAGATAGGAGAAGTTGCTATACAAGTAAACAGTTTCAGCAATACGTTAGCAGTATGAATATTAAACATGTGTTAAACGCAACAGCTTCGCCAAGGGCAAATGGACAGGTTGAACAATACAACCGCACGATTCTCGGTCAACTTACCGCATCTACGGACGATGAGGAAAGGTGGGACGAGCAAATAGCAAAAATACGATGGGGTCTGAATTCTATGATGAATTCTACTGCAAGGAAATCCCCTTACGAGGTACTTTTTCGATGTGTTCCAAGAGGTATCGCGAACTCAGTTCTAGACAACGAAGTAGTTCTAGAGACAGACAAACGACGCAATCTCTATATGATTAGAGAAAATGCAAAAGTCCTGATTGACGCTAATCAGGCTAAGCGAAAGAAAACCTTTGACACCCACAGGTGCACCGCTCGAAAGTTTAAGGTGGGCGACCAAGTTCTAGTCCGAACGCAAGTGACTAGTAATTACGGGCAGAGCAAGAAGCTGCTGCCAAAATATAAGGGTCCATACGTAATCAAGCAAATCTTAGATCACGATTGTTATGTGATCGAAGATGTTCACGGATCCTTACGATCTCGAATAAAGTACAAGAGTATCGTATCTCTTGACAAATTAAAATCTCTAGAGTATCATGTCAATTCAGATTCTGACGAGGAATCTGACCACGAAATATAAACAGGATCCTGTATAGATGCGATTGAAACAAAAATTCGAAATTGACTGGAGAAAATAAAAGATCAGCGATGTCGGTCGATTGAGGATTTCTGTTTAGAACCTTCTTGTATCCTAACGTTTGATTCTGTTTAGGTGATGCCTCCAAAGGGACTTGGAAAACAGTAGCATGGCCAAATGTAAAGTAATCACTGCCTGGGACACCCGTTATACATCACTCAGGTGGTCTACGTGCGTCTCCGGCCAACCATTCAGCCCATCCCGTCAAGATGACAGATTTGGGGTCGATGCGTTTGTTTATGTTAGTACCTACTAATTGTAAGATATATTAGAAACGGGGAGAGAGAATTCATTCTTCCTTGAGCTGTAGACTATAACAGTTTGTAACGTTTCCATCTAATAAAGCCAAATACCGAGTGTTCAGTTGTTTACTAGTCTCTCTTGGGTGTTTACACATTTGTTAATTTTGTCTCTAGTAGTATCTGATATATACATTTAAACTATGTATCTAGTTGCAATAAGAGAAATAATAAAAATTGTATTAATATAATTCTTTTATTTCTGATATCTTTATTTTAGAGAAATATAAATTTAATAATTCCCCTAATATATTACTTTATGGTACAGCATTGTATTACGTAAGTATAAGCAAGGATTATTTAATAAAATTATTTTAAAAAATACATGAATGTATTTGGAAAAAAATATTGTAAAGTGTATATTTCTATAAAACAAGGTATATAGAAAATAATGGATTCAATTAAAAGATAATTTGTCTAATAAAATTGTATATTGAGATGTTAATGACAATCAAATTTGACTAAAAACTATGTATTCTGTTACAATTGACAGTACAAACCTACCTGGAAAATATTTTTTTAAAAGTTTTGATTTACACTGTTAGCCTTAAATATCACTATTTGTATATTATCTCTTTCTTTAAAAATGACTTCAGAATATCTTAAACTTAAATTAAAATACCAATTATTATGTATATGAATTTATTAGTACTTATTACATACACTTTTAATTATCAGTAAAAAAGTGATATTATTGTAAAAACAAACATTTTTAAATTGTTTTGTCTATTTAATGAAATTTATGCATTTGAAAAGTTTACAAATGGCCTCGATGGTAGGGATCATAATTTGCTAAATATTTATCCGCTAACAACCTAGAACTTTCGATAACTGCTAAATGTCGCGCATTTTCATTTGTTAACATCCTGGAATTATCCGTTAATAGTCTGTTGTTTTCATTCATATTTACATTGGTAATTAACCTATTGTCCTGTGTTAAAATACGATTATCGTTTGTAAGTAACCTTGTATTATCATTTACTAACAAACGGGGTGGCTCGCTAACATTTACTAATAATCTAGTTCCATCGTTTGCTAGTAACCTCGTATTATCAATAATACCTCTATTATCGGAAAGTAAATGCTGTGACGAATCTGTTAATATTCGGGACCCATCACTAGATAGCATTCGAGAATTGTCAGACTGGATCATTCTTTGAATAGGTTCGGTCTGAAGCATTCGATTATCATTCTGCATAAGACGATTCGAATGGTCTGCTGTCTGTTGTGGCTGCTGAGATGGATACTTTTGATCATTATCATTGTGAAATTTAGGCATACGTTGCTGCTCTTGAGAATTATATTTTAGAGATGGTGCATGAACTTTCATATGTGTATTCAATGTGCTAGACTGTGAAAATGCTTTTCCACACGTTACACAAACATAAGGCCTTTCTCCTGAATGCACTCGCATATGTCTGAGCAAAATTGTATTAACTGTAAAACCTCTTCCACAAACTGTACATACATATGGACGTTCACCTGTGTGATTTCGCATGTGGTATTTAAGTTTCATTACTGTTGTAAATCTAAAAATTAAATTTAAATTGCTCATTCTTCTTTTCTTAATGTAAAACTTAATGTAAAGTTCCATTTAGTTAGCAAATTTATCTTTATCATTTAAGTTTTTGTTTTATTTTTTAATTTAACAAGATAAAGTTATCATACATACACAGCCTTGAAAATATTATTTATGCAGAAAGTTAAAAATTATTTAGGGAATTGGAGCATTTAAAAATAGTCAGTGAACAATATAAATATCATAATCATGAGCATGCACATTTCTGGCTATTTTAAACAAATAAAAGATAAATTAAATTTTAACAAACACTTATAAAAATAAAAAAGCATAGGGTGAAAGGTTCGCTATTTTTACATACTTTTTTAATATAAAGCAAACGCTTAAAGATAAAGATACATTTGTTCACTGAACACACCTTAACAAACTACATAACTCTATATCTAGGTACAATAAAAAAGTTTATATGAACGAAAGTCCACAAACATTTATGTTTTGAAACGTGAAATACGAAAAATATGGTAAAATTTTATTTTACTTTTTTTAATTATTGTACTTATTTTAAGCATTTTATAAGATAATCCACTTACATTCAAGACACTAAAAACTTTTTTTTGAAGGACAATGAAATATATGATTGGACTACCTAAATTATCTTTGAAAACACAATTTGTGTGGATTATATTAATCAAAATGTGACAAAGCATGGTCACATTGTTTATGCAGTCTGTTCACCAGTTTTAAATAAGGTTATAATAATAGAGTTTCAAGTCTGTTAATATTGTAAAACGCATTAAGATTGTATATTAATATATTTTTTTCATTTTTAGTTAGAGAATATTTATGTTATACCAATTCAAATTAAAAAATTTTATTAAAAAAAAATCTTATCAAAAGAAGTCAAACAATTCTATTCTCCTATACCAGATTTCTGATATCGAAGAAGATTATTTGATTCCATTTGATACGATTTAAAAAAAAATACCTTTAAATTAAAATAAAAAAAAATGCGAGCTCATAATAAAATTATGTTTTTTTCAATAGAATCGCTTCTATAACTGTTTTGGTGGAATATCGCAATACCCTATATACCTATTTATTTATTTATTTAAACTTAAATATTAACAATTTTTTTCTTTTCAATAATATAATTTTAACAGGAGAAAGAAAAGAACAGTACCAAAAATTATATAAAAAGAGAAATCAATTCTTAGTAACAACAAATATATAGTTGTAATAAATTAATTATTAATAATAATAATAGAGGACAAATTGATAAATTATATGTACAAGCCTGATTTTTTTTTAATTATCCTATATCTCGTTTTTCTTTTTATATAATTTTTTTTTGTTTAATAACATATTCATCAAAATTCATATGGGATGTTTTAGAAAGAGGTACTACAGATTAAAAAATAAAAAAAAAATCATGGACCATGAGCCTATTACTTTTGTGTTTGAGATGTAGAGGATGTCAAAGATTATTTTTTTAAATCAATTTTTAGCTAATCTTTTCATAAAAAAAAACAATGTGGATTTGATACAGATATGAAGGTGCTACATATGCAGTTTTGTTAGTTTTTTACCAAATACTAAAGGTCACTAGCCTTTCCCAATTACATTTGATACTAAAAATTTTTAGAGTTTTCACAGTGTATGTCATATACCTACCTAAAATGTAAAATATCATTTTTTTTAAAAATAAGGCAACTGGCTGCCCGATATATATTTTAGACCAAGATACCTTTGTACAATTATGTTTTCTTCAAAAGTTATTGGCCTGTTTTCTGATGTATGTTGCCATTGTTTTGACTTTTAGCCTACATACTTGAACAACAATATGATAATATTATGATAGATGGTAATTTTTCTATTTCCAAGTCACCTATGAGGTAAATTTTAATTAAAAATATCGAATAATTGTTTGCGAGCATATATGAAATAAATGAAATTCTTTTTGCGCCTTTGATCTACTTATCCATTTTATGTAATGGTGAAAAAACTGAAATTTTTGTGAATATTTTGATTAATAGTGGAAGGATAAACAGCCATAATCTAACGAAAATGTATGTCGCAAAAAAATCCTTCAAATTTTACTACATACGACCTCAGACTAATAAATAAAGGGGACGCCTTTATTTACATTCGATAGTGAAGTGTTGACATATGTGTATTTACAAACATTGGTACTTGTGACGTCCTTGACGTTGATGCCAATGTTACATTTTTATCTTTATAGTTAGGTACAGCGGTCATTTTAATTGATTATCGTACAAGGATCTACCTCATTCTTGACCTCGACTTACAAATTAGTTACATTGTAATATGCATAAGACTACGACACTATTTTCTTGCTTTATAATTATAGATTTTGAATATCTGAAAAAAAATACATTATTGAAATTCCTAGCAATACAAACGCCGTAAGTGGCATCATTGCCTGGTATTAAACGGTTCTAAAGGGGACGCCATTATTACAGTCTATTGTTGTGAAATAGATATTAGCCGAGTTCAATGTTTTGTGTCTTTTTAAACTGAGTTTATCTATTTAATTTCAATAAAAATGTCAAAGCGGTGTATAATATGCCGACAATTACAGGAAAAGAGCCAAATATGTGCTACTTCTTTTCACAAGTAAGTTTGACATTGTTTCCATGGGCGTTCTTACAAGGGTGTAAGGTGTCCTAAGTATTTTATTTGTTAATTTATTATGTTTGTATTTTGATACTGACACTAGCTCTGTGTTTATTTGTAGAATACCATAAGAATCTGCGATACGAGCAGTGTGGCTAGAAAATTTCGCCATATCTGAATATGATTTTTCAAAGGATAATTATGTCTGTCGAAGCATTTCCGTGCTACAGATATTAAGGTAACAGTAACTGGAAAACGATGTCTCACACATGGAGCTGTCCCTATTAATACAACATTTAGAAGGTAATACGTTTTAGCACAGTGTTGATGAAATGGTTGTGCCGTCTCAAAGGTTCCCCCTTCGAGAAATTGCCAGTGAAGGAAATTTTATAGATGTTGCTATAAAACATCTTCAATCACATGTTGTCCCTGTTCCATAAGAGACGAGCTGTCAATGCTATGAGCTCAAAATTCAGTTTATTTTTGTTGCGTACATTTAAAACGTGCTTATTTTCCCATACGATTAAATGTTGTTCAATGTAAATTCATTTTTCCGTTACTTTTAGTACAAATATGTTTTGTTTTGTTTGCATTGTTTATATTCCAGCAGATTTTAATGAAATATATTTTTGCTCCTTTTCTTGTAGTTTTATTTAAATTATTTATTTTAATAAATGTACTTCTTCCAGTAATCGAGAACTACTATGAAATAATAGAACTAATAGCAGGTAATGACATTGCTATAGCTATAGTATAATGATAGTTTCAATCGAGGAGTTTTCTTTAGTCCTTCTTTTGTTCTGGAAATGTTTTTAAAATATTAATTAGATTTTGAAGAAACCATTAACTTTTTCCTATTTATTGTCTATTTATTACACATGAAAGCTTAAGTAATCGAGCACTTCTGATTTTATTCTATTAAAAAGTATAATTTTTATGGTTTCCTTGTATTATGATAGATTTTAAACCTAAACTCGGTACACCACTGTACCAGGGACCATTGTGTTTACTTATGTATCATTTGTTTATCAACATACAATATGTTGAGGTTACATGTTTACATTGTGTACTGAAATAGGGAATGCGGCCTCCCCTTTACTTATTACTCTGAGCATACGACATACACTGTAACCTCAAAAAGTTATGTCACAAAATGTAACTGAAGAAGGTCAAAATTAGCAACCTGTAGCAGATAGTCAAAAAGTAATAAAGTATTTAGTTTACTTGCCCCAAATTTTCATGCTAGAGATAATAGGACATGGCTAAAATTTGATTTTAAAAAATCATTTTTAACTCATATCTCAAAACAAAACTCTTTAAAGGTCATGTTTTCTAAAATATTTGCAGGTCAAATGGACACATATTTATGATATTGTTATAATTATTGATTTGTGTCATCTTTTAGTACCTACTTTTATTTATTTTACTACACTGCAAAGGAAATTATTTAAAAAATTTCAGTAAAAGTAAAAAAAGTAGATACACCACTAAAATATACAATTACTTAGCGAGCGTCCGGAAATTCCATTCCCATACTTACAAGGGACGATTTTACACATCTAAACAGGGGCACACTAGTAGTTCCTGGGGAGTGCAGAACTTCAGTTAGTACCTCCATATACCTTCCCCGATAAAAAATCACATTAAAAATATAATTCCACTTCACCTGCAATTGATGGTGCCTTTACTAACCTGGCATCTGTATGCCTCGCACACTGCACACTGCGTTGACTGCTGAGAATAAATTTTTCATTTTATATTTCTGAAACAGCTTTAGGTATCGATCAATAAATGTGACTTTTTTCATGTTGGTAATTATTTTCATTTTTAATTATAGAAGTGCTGCTAGAGACAGTCAGGATTGTTTACTATTTTTTTAATAGGCAAATTTTCTAAACTTTTCTGAAATTCCCGATTAAATTTCTGATTTGGTATTTATTACATAAAAAGGTGTCTATTTTTGTAAAAATTGACTAGACGAAACACCTTCAAATGATTATTATTATTATTATTATTATTATTATCCCCACTGTTACCTGCCAGTACTCTTTCCCATAATTAAAAGTAAAATGAAAAACCTACTTCAAAAAATTGCTTTTATCAATTCATATACCAAAATTCTTATCGAATTCTAAACTAGTGGTAAAAAAAAACTCATTCTCAGCAGTAATATTTCAATTGCCATAATTTCTTTAAGACATATTTTAGAAACTATGTTCAAACTTTTATCTTATGTAGAATTACACCTTCAAGCATGTGAATGGAATTCCAAAACGCCCTGAATATTACATTAAGGAAATTATTTTTAAATTTACTTTCATCTATGTGAAAACTGAATATCTGCAATTTCACAAAAAATATAATAACATTTTCTGCTTTATAATATACTAGACTATTACGTAGATAATTTAATATACCTTTTTTGACATACTGAGCATTCGATAGGTTTTTCAGTTCCATGAAGCCTTTTATGACTAGTTAAATCACCAGATTGTCTAAAAGCTTTTCCACAAAAGTCACATACAAATGGTCTCTCATTATTATGGGTTCGCATATGAATTTTCAAACTAGCTTTCGATACATAACCATTTTTACACACCTCACACTGAAAAGGTCTTTCACCTGAAATATAAAATGAAATTAATATTTTCTATCCACTTGTATCTCTCTTTCTTATCTCAGTAAAACTAATAGCAAATTGATATAAAATATTATTTTACTGCTTTACTGTTTTTTAGTAATGGAAAAAGCAGTAAACTGCAAATTAACCCAGTAAGTAGAAAATAATCTAGCCATAAATCTTAGTAAATGAATTCTAATCCTAGTAATTATGAAGGTTTGAGAGACGCCCTGCATTTCTTTGCAGCTAATACTTAAAAAATGTATGGCAGTTATATTTATTGCATTCAGTATTAATCTACTAAATAAAAAAATACTTTTATGGACTTCGTTTTCTTTATCTCTAAAGGTTATTTAAAATATGTACCACCAATGAAAAAAGTTTTTCAGATAGGGTGCCATAAATTCTAAGTAAACAGCATATTAAAAAAATAAGATTTTTCCACTGAACTATTTTATTAATAGCAAAAGCAGTAAAATACAAATTAAACTAGAGAGTAGAAAAGTATCTAGCCATAAATCTTAGTGAATGAATTCTAATCCTAGTAATTATGAAGGTTTGAAAGACACTCGTACCCATAACTTAAAATATATTTTATTAATATCTAACAAATATCAACTTTAGATATTATATCATATTAGATTTATTAAAAGTTAACTAAATTCCTTGGGAATTAAAAATGATACTCCTCAAAATTAGAATTTAATAAAGCAGCACTTTTAATCACAAATTGATAGTAATTTTTCATTTCTAAAAAACTGACGAGTGAATCGGCAATAACAAGATAGACTGATAGACTACAAGCCCATCGGAAATTTTCAAGGGGTCATTTGACCCAGCAGGAATTATTTATAAATCAATACTACCACATATAACAATAACTTTAGAAACTATGCCGTCAATTCTTGTTAGTACAGATGAGTTAAAAAAGCTAAACGTGTCCACCAAGGGGGGGTAGTTTTCGGCAAAACATTTTTTGTACGACATCTCTAAAGTATATAGGTTATACAAAAAAAAATGAACACCTAATGCCGTACAAAAATAGCAATACTGGAAGCCAGGAAAATTTTTGATGTTCTGAAAATTTTGGCCCGGTTTTTGGTGATTTACTACAGTACGGCATTTATACTGCAAGTTTCGGATTGATACATAGATAACTTTTTTAGTGACGCCGTACGCATCTGCTGATACAGGGGTTAGAAATGCAGGGTGCAACCCTCTATTTTAGCCCCCATTGTTTCAAGTAATTGAAAAATGTACGATTATTTAACTCTCCAAATAATTCTTAGCAACTATGCCATCTGAAAATTATGATTAATGCAAAAGTTTATAAACAATTACTTGTATTTTGGAATTGAGTTTTATTTTTTTTGATACAATCATTAATTCCTGTACAGCAACCACTTTTTGATAAAATATAACCAAAAACTATCGTACTAAATCATGGCCGGTACGAATTAAAAAACAAATAAATAAATTTCGTATATTTTTAACTGGTGGATTTTGCATAGCTGATAATATTTTTCATTAAATTTTTACTACATTTTTAGGTCATTAATAACTATACGGCATTTACAAATTTTCATCAGAAATATAACATAAAGAATGAAAATTGCAATGCCGTACATATTCGTCGGAACAATTCTCCGAAACTGTATAAGTTAAAAATGAGTTTTATCCTAATTTCAAGAGAAATTTAATTTATACCCTAGAAATTATGATGGCACTGTCTTTAAGATTAAAAAAAATTGTATATAGAGAATCGAGAAAATATTTTGAGAAATTTAGATATTTAATAACGTGCAAGAAAGTATTATTTTTAAATAAATATAATAATAAACAATTAATTTTAACTCAATATTCATGAGAATTCCTATATAAATACTTACATTTAAAACAGTGATATAACATATGTTTTGAAGTAACAGTACCCTCACATTTGCATATTTGCAACTTCTGTTGTTGAACAATTTATTTATGCAAAAATTGTGATGAAGCATACAATATATGTTTAAAATTAGTAAAAATAATTTAAAAGTGCCTTTGTTATAAAAACAACTTTAAGATTGTTGGTTATAAACATGAATAAAACCACATAAAAATTTACACGCCGAAAAGAAAAAAGGACAGAGAAAGATGTTTCGATTTTAATTTTAAAATAAAAATAATTCCAAATTTTTAAAAAAATATTAGAATGCAAACTTTTTTATTGATTTTTTAATAATTTTTTGGATTTTGAAAAAATTTTACCCATGTACTTGTGAAAAAATATATATATATTTATTATATATTAATATATAATATATATATTAATATATAATAAAATTGATAAATATCGACCTATGGTTTTTTAACGGTATATTACTTAAAAATTATTTTACATCTTAAATAATGTTTTAGCAACAATGCCGAACATTTTTTAATGATGGGAAACCATAAGGGTCAGAATAGGGGTTTGCATCCGGGGTTTCTCACTCCTATATCGACAAATATGTGTGGCATTACTGAAAAATATTTCTATATGATATTATGTCTTATTATAGAAAGGTCATACAGTAGTAAATAATTTGTATTAAGGAGAAAATAGTAGTAAAAATAATATCAGTTCTTGCAAGTACGTAATACGTATTTGCAAAAATATATTTCAAGCCATTTAGAACCATTTATTTTGTACAGCATTTTGTTTTTGTTGATTATTGTTGTCAGTATTAACAAAATATATTAATGCCATACAAAAATTTTTCACCGTGATATCCTACTTTTCAGAGGAAAATTAATTTTCCTATAGTAAGAACGTTTCATGAAAAATGTACAGCATAGCCAAAAATGTAATTATTTTATAAAATAGAATTAAAATTAGTGAATTTGATATTGGTTCAAATCACCCCCCATACGCTACTTACAAATAGAGGGTTGCACCCTGTATTCCTAACCCCTGTATCAGCAAGTACGTATAGCGTCGCTTAAAAAATTTATCTATGTGTCGATCTGAAACTTGCAGTATAAATGCCGTACTGTAATAAATCACCAAAACCCGGGCCAAAATTTTCGGAAAATAAAAAATTTTCCTATCTTCCGGTATTGCTATTTCCGATGGGCTTGTAGTCTAGATACAAATAGTATATTTCATTAGAAATAATTGTTGCATTCATTTAGTTTTGTATACTTAACTGGTAGCAAGATAATCCTGCCATGCCTAAAATATTTTATGAAATTAAATTTATTATATTAAGCACCTACACTTTCTTTTCAAAATAATTACAATTTTTTTATTAGTTTTAATTCAAAAATGCATAAAAATAAGTACCTAATGGATAATCCAGATCAATTATAACAGCAGCAATCGATTTTAAAAATATCGTGATTACTAAAACATCACTTTATAATGCATCTACAGGGTCATTTCCATATCATACCCCCTTATATTTTTTTATTGTTTTATATACAGGGTGTTTCAGTTCGAGTGAAACAAACTTTAACCACAAATAGAACTCTATAAATAATTCAGAATTGCCTTACAAAGCAAGGATCTAAGTCCCACCGTTTTCACTGTACAGGGTCGTATTGGTTGGTTGCTAATATCATATTATTTACGAAATCTTTGGTATGCTTATAACAAATTGATTCAAATTTGGTGTGGTGTTAACATTTGCACATGTGCATAATTTATTGTAAAATTAACAAATTTTTGTAGGTCAGTGGCGTAGGAATGGGTAGTAGAGCGGAATATTTCTACCCCAACTTCTATGCCAATGACCTAATAATCATTTGGGAATTACAGTAATTATCTTTAATTTTACCGCGAACAGTCACATTTCTGTAGAAAATAAGATGGTTGTTTTAAACCAGATTATGTGTTTGATGTTGTATATCGAATGTGCAGAATGCTAAAAATATGCACGTCGCATTTTGAAGGCGCAACGACGATATTCATCTATTGAAAATGATCTGAGACAATTACTAATGCAGGCAGTATGTGGTAACAGTTTAGTTATTAGGATAGATTTCTATCTGATAATAACTATTTTTTGGCACCAATTATACAAAAGCAGGAGTGCCCTATTTGCGCAACAAGCTTCATCTGATTGACTACATCTTAATTTACAGATTTTTATTTTGTAAGATGTAAAATTAAATGTTATTCATATTTCGATTATTTGGGCAGCTGTGTACAGTGTACATCAAGTCGGTAAAGTCCAGCAATTGGTATATAACTTGTCATAAAGATTGTATAATAAAATTGTGTTTAAAAATTTCGTGGATCATATATAATTTAGTTGTTGCAAATGAGGATGAAATTCAAACATTTTCTTCTGAAGAATTGTTATTACCCTATTACACCTCCCCCCCCCCTAAAATTTATAAATGTTGTTTCACTAACACTTAAAACGTTTTTTAATTTTTTAATGAAAATGGCTTGATTTAGAAAGGATTGTTTTTATTAAGTAATCAATGTTTAAAGCAACAAATCTGTGTATGCAAATTTTACACAAAAGATACAAAAGCAAACACAGTTACATTTAGATTCCCACTCTAAGAAAATTTATTTTATTTGTGTTTTACAGTGCCCGATTTACCTATAGGCTGCAGCCTACAGGCCCCCACCATGTTAACAAAAACTTTTTTTTATGAAAACCATGGGGAGATAAACAAGAAAGAAAAATTATTCTGAAAAATATAATTTTTTATTTTAGAATTTGAATTCTATCCATTAAGATACGATTCTAAGAGCTGCCACTAGAGGGAGAAAGCGTATACAATAAGAATATTTTTTTGGGGTGGAGGTCTACCAAAAAGGATATATTTTTTTTCTAGAATAGGCCCCCACCAATTTTTAGCCTACAGGCCCCCACCACTGTGCCAGGCAGGCACTAAATCAGGCAGTGTGTATAATAATACTCTCTATTTAATAAAACTAAAAATAAAGCTTTTCTTTTTCCTAAAAATATATTGAAATTTATGAATTAAAATATATTTACCTGTATGTGTACGTAGATGTAATTCAAGATTAAATCTCTGAGGAAAACATTTGCCACAGATGTTACACAAAAATGGTCTATCGCCTGTATGCTGCTTGATATGAATTGATAAACTCTGAGCATCCGGAAATTCAGTTTTGCAGTAATCACAAATATGTTTTAACAAAGCCGGATCACCCTCCTTTTTCTCGTGGATTTTCATATGCTTAAGAAGACTGTTTTCAGCATAGCATCCTTTATTACAAATTTTACAAACAAAAGGCTTTTCTCCGCTATGTTTCAACATGTGTTTGTCTAATAATGTAGTATGTATAAATCTCTTCTTACAAATTTTACATTCATGTGGTTTTTGATCCTCAGGAACATGAGTTCGCATATGATTATTCAAATAGTTCTCTTCAGTAAATCCCCTGGGGCATAATTTGCATTTATAAGGACGATCTTCAATGTGAGTTCTAAGATGTTTTCTGAATGACTTCATGTTTATGAATTGCTTTTTGCAAACATTGCATTGGTTTGTGTTCCGCTTCATTTTCTTTGCAGCTAATACTTAAAAAATATATGGCAGTTAAATTTATTGCAATCAGTATTAATCTATTAAATAAAAAAAAAATACTTTTAAGAACTTTATTTTCTTTATCTCTTTATAAAACATGCCTATTGCAAAAACCAAATACTCTGTAAGGAACAAAAAGTATACACATGAAGTAAATACAATGAAATACTCAAAAAATTACAATTGAACACTTTTAACCAACTTGAAAATTCAGTCAATTAAAAGGATACTATTTTTTTACGAAAAAAATATATATGAAGGTATTTGTAAAAATCAGTGCAGATACCACTAATTGAATAAAAATTTGTAACAGGTTACGTACCTAATTTTTGCAACTCTTTTATTAGGTGATGGTATTTTATATATATTTTTATAAAAAACTCGTCTACTTGAACAAAAAGTAAAATTAATCCTGGTGGGTTCACTTCCAATTTTAGTAATTTCTTTCGGAAGAGGTTTAGTGACTTCTGACAAACATTTTCTTGATGTAGAATTAAAAAGTGCATCAGCATGGGCATAGACGGAGGGGCAGGGGTGTACACGGCCCTCTCCAGAAAAAAAAGATCCAATAATATTATCTTTTTCATATCGGTAAGTTGCTGTGTGCCATTTTTTTTTAGAATGAAACGAAAATATTCCAAGAATACAGTTTAACAACTATCGTGTATAACTTATTTAGAAACTAATCAAGCCAGGCTATTTAGATCCCTCAGAACATGTGTAAATTTTGACATTTTATTTTAAATTTAAAGATAATTAAGAATAACCGTTTGGAAAGTAACAACTTTAACATACTGTATCACGAAAACAGGGTGTCTAAAAAATAAACATTACATGAACTATCCCCATTATTTTCCCATGAGGAACTTACATACAAGGTTTTTTGAAACATGAACGGGGCACCCTGTATATATGAATTATATGCTGCTAATTTTAATAACAGAAAAGTTTTGAGCATGTTACTAAAAATTACTAAAAAAAAATTCAGAATTATTAAATTATAAAAATGTAGGTTACTAAGATAATACTTGGCAAATATTTTAAGCAGATATGTCTATTATAAATCTTGAGATCGTATGCGTATATGCAAAAAAATTTTCTTACTAAATTTTTAAATAGGTACCTATCTTCTGCACCAAACAAATGCATTTTCATTTTATTTTTGACTAATTAATAATATAAGTCCAAATAACTGCTCTTATCTAATTATATGTAGTACCTGCAGCTTTTCCTCCTTTTGCTAACATTTTTTTTCTGGACATTTTGCTCTTTTGAGATTTTGCTGCCTTTAATAATTGTTTCTGTGCTATAATTTTTTCATCATTTGGATTATCTGTAACAGAAGTCTGAAATAAGGAGAAATGATCTTTGAAATCATCATCATCATCACTGTCACAAGATGACGTATCTAGTCCAAAATTATCCAGAAACAATCCAGTGGGAAAGTCGTTAGTTTGATGAGTGTCTTCTTCCTTACATTGTTTAAGAATAGATGGTTTACCCAAATATTGTCTAAGATTGATGTCAGACTGTTCACATAACTGTTTGAATGAGTAACATCTGCTTATCTGATGAACACATTGCAAGCATATGAGACCAGGCAAACCGTCGCCATTTTCAATCTAGAAAATATAATAACCATTATTATACAGGATGTAACTAAAATATTTGGCCAAAGTTTAATATATACAAGGTGTTTCAGTTGGAGTGATTCAAACATTAACCACAAATAGAACTCAATAAATAATTCAGAATTGTCTTATAAAGCAAGGGTCTAACAAGGAACACTCCGATTTCCAGATTTTTATATATGTTCTAAAACATAAAACATTAAGACACGTATTTTTTTTATCGATGGAAAACATATTTAGGAGCTGAAATCCACGCTCAAAGCTCGTCCCCCAAAACAGTTTTTTCTAAATATCTGGGGTTCTAATTAATATTACGGAATGAAACAAAATGGAAATTACTTCTTATAAAAAAAAAATGTTTCACGAGTGGTTCCGTGTTTCCAGAAAAACTATATTTTTCAAACATTTTTAAAAAACAGTGGGTCCCAGAAGTAACGCAAAAAAATCGTATTTTATTTTGTGTTGCGTTTTCACAAAAACGCTAAAACACGTCATTTAGTAAATAGGAATTGTCATTTTTCCACGTTGCTTAAACCTTTTTTGCGCTATGTTTCATAAACCCATGACGTCATCGATATTTTTTTTAAATAGCACTACCTAATTTTTTAAGCATAAATGGATAGCCCTTTTGCAGGGAAATGCGTCGATATAAGGTTTTGACCTTCTTTACTTTGACAGGTGCGAAAATAAGCCACCGATTGGAATGGACATGGTTTGAAATAACAACTAACAACAAAAGTAGGTATCACAAACTGATGCGGGAACAGTGACAGCAAAAAATGTGTTTTGGTTGATTGTAGGTACATGTTTTTATGTAGATTGGGTAGGTTCACCCGATCACAGTGGCTAGACATTGTTTTGAAGACGACAGTTAGCGAATGCAATAGTGCCTCATATCATTGTGACAGTTACAAATACCTTTACGTACGATGGTGTGTTTAAGTGAGAAACTAAGAATTGAAATCCTAAGTATGGTTGGATACGGAGATAGAATCCATAGTTATGATGAAGTATGTCAATTATTCAATGCCAAGTATCCAGAACCTCCATCCACAGTATGCAGATTAGTACGCAAATTTGAAGACGCTGGACATGTTAGAGATATCTCTAGATCTGGAAGGCCAACGACAGTTACAGAAAATGATAGGTAAAATGTTATGTTTAGCTGTCACTGAAAATCCACACACTGCCCAAAATGATAGGTAAAATATTATGTTTAGCTGTCACTGAAAATCCACACACTGCCGTTTGTCCTATCGCCGAAAACGCCAACATATCAATACATATATGTAGGTACCTACAATCAACCAAAACACAAAACATCTACAAATTCCCATTTTTTGCTGTGGCACTGTTCTCGCATCAGTTTATGATACCTACTTTTGTTATTTTAAACCATGTCCATTCCAATCGCTGGCTTTTTTTCGCACCTGTCAAAGTAAAGTAGGCCAAACCCTATATCGACACATTTCCCTTCAAAAAGGCTATCCATTTATGCTTAAAAAATTAGGTAGTGCTATTTAAAAAAATGTCAATGACATCATAGGTTTATGAAACATGGCGCAAAAAAGTTTTAAGCAATGTGACAAAATTACAATTCCTATTTACTAATTGACGTGTTTTATCGTTTTTGTGAAAACGCAACACCAAATAAAATACGAATTTTTTTTGTGTTACTTTCGAAATTCGAATTAGCAATAACATATTTATCTCTGCACGTGCGCGCACGTCTGTCTAAGGGCCACTGCATGATCTGCTTATTCTAAGAATATTTCGACAGAAGGCTGTCAATCTAAACATCAAAAAATGTGTTCAAAGAACTCTTGACAATTTTGTTAAAAAAAAACAATTAAGAATCTAGAAGGAAATCTTAATTCTTTTTGCTATTAGTTAAATGTTAATCGTATCTTTTGAAATTTCAGTATGTATGCAACATATGTAGGGGGTCCCTATTTCTTAGAAATTTGTTTTTATTTTCATTATGTTTGAAATGTATTACATACATATTTTATTTTGGAATAAAGATTTTTATAGCCAATGAATATATTTTTGGTGGAAGATTTCTGTAATCCGAAAGATTTGGTAAGCCGAACGGAGTCTGTCAACTTTCTGTTTGGATTATCCATACATTACTGTATATACAGGGTGTCCGGAAAGGTCATGTCAAAAATTAAGGGCATTTTTTCTTCATAGTTCGATTCCTCTCTCACTTTGCTTAGAAAAAAAAAAGGATATCTTGTACAGTTTTTGAGAAAATCAAATTTTATTAACAACATACATGTATCGTATCAAAAATGCGATATTAACATTTTTATAAAAATTGTGGTTTCTTTGGAAATTGCGATCAGAAAAACCGGACATAGTGCGCCGGTAGTGTATCAGAAAATTATCACAAAGAGTAAATAATGTGTCCATGTGTGGTACTTGAGAAATTTTAAAAGAGCATTAGTTATACCAACATCATTATACAAAAGTACAAGAGTTATTACCAAGACAATATGAAAATCCGAATTTTCTACAATCTATCTATTTTTACGGATGAAGTAACTTTCATTCGAACAGGAGTGGAATGAATCTCTTAATGGCCATCTGTGGACTGAAAAAAATCTTAGGGCCAAAAAGGAGTCCCATTTTCAATATTCATTTAATTCATTCAAGATGGTAGTTTAAATGGCACCAAGTATTTAGAATTTTTAAGAAATAGTCTGTTCGAAATTATTGAAGATGGTATTCCACTATTAGCAAGAAATAATTATTATTTCATGCATGACATTTTACTCGAATATGCAGAGAATGGTTTATTGAAAATTTTCCTGAGCGATGGATTGGTCGAGGTGCAAATGCTCCAATTCATTGGACTCCAAGGTCACCAGACCTTAATCCCCTTGATTATGTAGTTTGGAGCTATGACAAATAAAAAGTATATGAAACAGAAATAAATTCAGCAGAACATCTGAGACAAAAGATTGTTGATGTTTTCAACCATCTAAAAGACGATTTAGAACCTTTGAAAAATACATTGTTTTCATTACAAAAGAGAATTCGTTTTTGTATTCGTGAAAATGGAGGACATTTCGAACAATTATTCTGATTTTATTTTTCTTAAATTTTAATTTTCTGTTAGTAATAATTAGTTATTCTTGTTGTTTTTCTTTTTTTTCAATTGTATTCAGTATGTGTTAAACTTTTCCAAAAATAAACTATTACTTTTTATCATTACCATTAAAAGAATAAGTTTTATTAAGGAAACTAATAGTAATAGTAACCTCGATAGTAACTAGGTGCCAAAGCCTACTTGAAATAAAAAACAACAATTTGCGATATTAGCTGCTTGACTTTGGCGCACTATGCCTGGTTATTCTCGAAAACGGGCAAATTTTATCACTTCTTATAAGAGCACCTTTTTTGTTTAGAATAAAATTTGCCATAACAGTAAGTGACAAAAGGGGCAAAAAGATTAACCTCAAAAAGTTAGGACCTAAAATGTTCCTGCGGAGTACTGCACTGAACGCCCTGTATGATATAGACAAAAATTAATAACTCCAGAGCATTTTGCTTCCCCTGAAACCTGACATAACAAAATTTCAGTTCATTTGGTCGAATTTTGTGGAAGATAGGACTGAAACTAGATTCTAAAAAATTATTTTCAACGCCCTGTATCTTGAAAACGGAAAAAGATACGGCAATAGTTCATAGGAATAATTTGTAATATTTTTTGACATTTTACCAGGCCCTGAATTTATGGTGTTTTTCAGAACACCCTGTATACAGGATGTTAGTAAATAAGTGCGACAAATTTCAGGGGGTGATTCTACATGAGAAAATAATGGCAGTTTGCTTATAAATGTATGTCCGCAAATGATTTGTTTTCCGAGATATGGGGTGTCAAAGTTTTTCTTAAAAAATGACGATTTAATTTATTGTTCTGAAACCGGTCGAGATGTGCAAATGAAATTTGGTGGGTTTTAAGAGGTAGTTATTGCGTATTTTTTGACACACAATTAAGAATTTTATGTTCATCATTGGCGCGCGTACGGGTAATAATCTCAATTTTTTTTAAAGAAAAAAATGGTACGCCACTGAGATATTACAAATTAAAAAATCATTTTTGAATTCCTCGTTCAATTTGTGACAAAAAATCTCTCTTGCCTTTTCTTCGTATGGGGCGCCGTTTTNTTGATGAAGACGAGCAAATATTGTGTGATGAGGTACCCTACGTCCTGGATACAACTCAGCATACAATCGTCGAGCTTGCCGACCATTTCCATTACTTCGACCATAGACAAAATGCATGTCTGACAATTCCGCATTTGTAAAATTTTCCATTCTTTTCGATAAAAGAAAAATTAATTACTTATTAACACTAATGTTATAGCAAACTAAAAGCTTAATAAATTAATAATGACGAAACGCTAATTTGACATTTCTTAAAAATATTCGTATTTAACAGACAAATGTTGACAGTAGCCTACTAGGTAATGTATTAAAGAAATAAAAAATACGCGTTACAATGTTTTATTTTTTTGCATCAAAACGGCGCCTCATACGAAGATTTTTGTCACAAATTGAACGAAGAATTCAAAAACGATTTTTAATTTGTAATATCTCAGTGGCGTACCATTTTTTTCTTTAAAATAATTGAGATTATTACCCGTACGCGCGTAAATGATGAACATAAAATTCTTAATTGTGTCAAAAAAATGCGCAATAACTACCTCTTAAAACCCACCAAATTTCATTTGCACATCTCGACCGGTTTCAGAGCAATAAATTAAATCGTCAGTTTTTAAGAAAAACTTTGACACCCCGTATCTCGGAAAACGAATCATTTGCGGACATACGTTTATAAGCAAACTGCCATTATTTTCTCATGTAGAATCACCCCCTGAAATTTGTCACACTTATTTACTAACACCCTGTATATACATATACAGGGTGTTTCAGACAACCCGTCCACCTCTTCTTAAATGTAGGGCATCTAATAAAATGAA